CATGATTTCAACCAATCAGGGTTTTATGTACAAGGTTGGGAAACCACTGGTCTGGAGAAAAGGGCAAGTATTGGTACTCAATGTATATTAGGTATGACCTAAGTAACTCTTTATCGAAACTTCTCCACTCAAATGATACTTGCATTCAATCCATTTTATACCTAGATCCAAGAAAAAAAGACTATTTGTATGGTTTGTCTTGCAGCCAATCACCACAAGCACTCTTCGATTTCATGTTATGTGTCATAAGCCCACTACTGTAGCAGCCACAACCCGTACAGTCTGTGATGTGGTGAAGTCAAGTGTGTCTTTTTTGAAGGAAATTGCAATTCAGTGTGCCGAGATGCCATCATCAAAATGTTTTAAAGTATGGCTGTACTGCACACTAGTGGTGCTTGGTGGCATTTTACACAACTGAATGCATCCATTTACATGATGGGTACCAAATAAACTAGAAAAATGGTATCAAATAGTACTTCAGCACTGCTCTGTTAGTACTCTATTGGTATATGTATCACTTTAGAGTACTAGTATTGTAATTCTTAAAAGGATGCCCACCCCTATTTTCAGCAAAACGTTTAAGGGTTTGACAGTTGCAGAACTATGAATTATGAAGACCTGTACAGTATGCTTTATATACAACCCTGTTGGCGGAGAGACTAACTATACTTCTTTCTACAGTTGATGCAGGGCACCGGGCTGTGATATTTGACAGGTTCAGAGGAGTGCAAGATGCTGTTGTTGGTGAAGGGACCCACTTCCTTATTCCTTGGGTTCAGAAACCTATCATCTTTGACTGTCGCTCCCGTCCACGCAACGTGCCTGTCATCACAGGCAGCAAAGGTACATCGGTTATCTACTACACTGCTGTAATGCCATCCTCAATTTTGCTCCTAAACATTCTGTGTCTTTTAAAACTTAGTCAGCTGTGTGGAGTTTCTGTGAAAACAACTAGCCTCCTGGTAATGCCGTAATTCTTCTATAAGAAGAAAAATAAGCTGGTGTGGCTAATATCTAATGTTACCTAGTGTAAAATGTTTACATTTTGTCTTCAAATTCTACAAACACTACCTAAGGATGTAACTTGTACTGTACATAGTAGGGCTGCAATGATTAGTCAACTAATCGATGACTAATCGACTATTAAAATAATCAGTGACTATTTTAGTAGTCGACTAATCGACTTTTGATAGAAAAGTACTATAAAATACCCCAAAATACTCTTATTGCAGCTTCTTAAGCTCAAATATCGGCAGCTTTACACACTCTGAACTTTGGCGTGAGTACGAAACAAGACATTAGATGACATAATTTTGGGGTTTGGGAGAGACAGACCGACATTTTTCAACATTTTAACACATTTTTCGATAAAATGATTAGTCGACTAATCGAAGAAATAATCGACAGATTAGTCGACAATGAAAATAATCGTTAGTTGTAGTCCTAGTACACAGGAGGTTTTAATCTATGAAAAAAAAAGTTATCTGTCACTTATATGCTACTATGTGCAGTAAGAATAACACTTTGATTTTTAACCCCACAGATCTGCAGAATGTAAACATCACACTGCGTATCCTCTTCCGGCCGGTGACCACCCAGCTGCCACGCATCTTCACCAGTATCGGTGAGGACTATGATGAGAGGGTGCTCCCATCTATTACCACAGAGGTCTTAAAGGCTGTAGTGGTGAGTGCCAGAGTAATTACAAATAAACAGGAAAAGATTTTATTGAGAGTGAGCTGATAAACTGACTTATAAGCCACTATGTTTGTGTTTGTGTGTCTGCATGCGTGTGTAAATTATTTTATTTTTTTGACAGGCCCGATTTGATGCAGGCGAGCTCATCACTCAGAGAGAGCTTGTGTCTCGGCAGGTCAGTGAGGACCTCACAGAAAGAGCCAACACCTTCGGCCTTATCCTGGATGACGTTTCACTGGTATGAAGCTGCAGATACATTTTGAAACAATGTCTGTTACCTTTTCAGCTGTATTTAAATTCAGTGATACAATTGTGTTGTGTTCTTTCAGACACACTTGACCTTTGGCAAGGAATTCACAGAGGCTGTGGAGATGAAGCAGGTGGCCCAGCAGGAGGCTGAGAGAGCCCGTTTCATTGTAGAAAAGGTATTGTTTTTAACACACAGGTCATCCCTGTCATCCATCTACTACTTTGAATTCAGGAACTTTGTAAGCAAGATTTTTCCTGCATAGAGAATTACAAGGCAGCTTGGTCCCACCTCCAGCTCTTGACAAAACTTAGACGGGCGTCATAACTGAAATAACTATTTTCTAACAAGCTTTGCACTTTGTGGATTTCTGTCATTTGTAACTGCAACTGCAGCAATATGCAGATTTGATGGCGCTAAAGTAATCATCACAGTGCACCAGGAAACGTGCTGCCAAAACTGCCAAAGAGAGAAAAAAAGAGCCGTCTGTTTTGGACCATAGCAAAGCGGGGGCCTGCCTGGTGCGCCACAGTGTTTGCACAGTTAACATGTTTGCCACCAGAGCAAAAAAAAAATCACTCAAGAAAACAAAACTTTTCCTGCTGTTCCATGATGGTTTTATATCGCCAGTTGGAGTTTATAAATGCCGCTGCAAAAGACAGTCTGACTCTGCGTTTGTGAACGCCACTCCATTCTCCTCTATATGAGTGTCTGAACACAGTCTTGTAGTGAGACTACAACATTTAAATGGGTGAAATGGAAGTTAAAAAAGTAGTTTTTTAATCAACTTCTTTCCCATTGTTAAGTCGAAAAGTTCAGACATCTGTAAAATAATCAAATTTCCATTAAAAAAAAAAAGACATGCTGTCTTGTAAAAATGTGTGAGAGGCAATTACTAAAATACAATAGTTAATTAAATGTTTCAAAAACAGGGGAAGATCTCCATTTGTGTACACGTGTTAGCCAGAGTTTATCAATAATTGTAAGTTGTTTCAGTCATACCATTATAAAAACTCAGACATTGCTTGTAAAAAAAAAAGTGCTTCCTTGAGTTAGTTTAAGGCATAGTACACATGCACATGTGTGCACATGATCAGGATGGTGCCACCTCTGCCTCATTTTGAGCCAGGAAAAACCCCAGTATGCAGTTTCAATGGGTAAATGGGTGGAAAGTTAAATTACAGTCATTGTGAACTAAGGCAGCTCACAAAATCATCTTTTTTTGCTTTTAGGCAGAGCAACAGAAGCAAGCTGCCATCATCTCAGCAGAGGGAGATTCCCAGGCTGCCTTGCTCATCGCCAACTCCCTGATGGAGGCTGGCGATGGTCTGGTAGAGCTGCGTAAGTTGGAGGCAGCTGAGGACATCGCTTTCCAGCTCTCCCGCTCCCGCAACGTCACGTACCTGCCGTCAGGACAGGGCACATTGCTCCAGCTGCCCCAGTGATAACATCTCGCCTGTTGTCTAGCCCACTTTTGCTTTCACCAGCCATTACAAGGGCCATGGAAGGGGTGGTTGGAGGATTCAGTAAAGGACTCTCAGCTTCACACACATTCCTCCCACTCTTTCTCTAACCAACTCTGGACTGGGCTCTGCTGATAGCAGGATGGTGGGAGACAAAGTGAGAGGTCTGCGTTGGATACATTTATGAAGTCCACTCATGTGTATGGAAGTGGAGAGCAACCTATATACAATATTTTGTTTTGAAAACGACTGCAGTAAATTCTGTGAATATTAGTCTTTACTACATTGTCTCAGAGCACTGCATGTGTGGAAAGCAACAGTGATTTTTAACATCAAGGGAAAACTGTTAGTTATTCCTTTAAAAGATAACATGATAAATTGTGAATGATAAATGCCATTATTGTTGTGCTGGAAGGTCTCATCAAATTGTGTAACTCTGTATATTCAGATCTGTAATGAAAAGCTCTCATTATGATTCACCGACATAACCGACTAGAGGTGGTGTCTTCATTTGACTTAAATTCTCTGTGTGTTCTGATTTGCCAGAGGGATTAAATTTCATAAATGTGTCTGCTTCCTAGCCAATTATTTCTTAATAAATAATATTGCTAGTCCCAATCAGTTGGAACGTGCCTGTCGGATAGTAGAGGATGGTCCTTCATTCTTTACAGTTGTCGCTGTGTCTTTAGTTTGTGTGGAGAAGATGTGCACCCAATGTTTCAGAAATGGCTCAAGTTAACAATAAAATTGTCTTTCTACCTCCCAGTGGTCAGGCTCATTGGTCAAGGACTCTGGGGTGAATGTACAGGGTTTTCTATTATGTGTAATCATAACAGTCACCACAGGAGGGTGTGTCATGATTGCATCCTCTTTGACAAAATACTGTAGAAGGTCAGAAGTAGGTTTAACTGCTTATTTTTTGCCTCCTTAACAGGTGTGGCATTATTATGTTTCAAAATGAGTAAAATAGTTTGACATTGGTAACTTTGATGACTACAAAGTGAAGTGGGGGTTTGAGACAATGGCTGGGAAGAAATCAAAACCTGTAAGAAAATCATGATGGAGTCCTTTTAAATATTTTCTGGTATATAGCTCAAGATACAATTAATTTTAGAACAAAGCATGATTTATTTCTGTATTTTTTATATGCTTTTGAGCAGCCATTAAACCCTTATCCTATTGTTCCGGATGTATTTATCTTTTAGGAAAGATAAATCGTTGAATCATGGATTTTGGTCACTTTCCTGATGCTATTTATAGATTCAGATTGGAAGTTCACAAATAATAAATGGCCGGGACGCCTTGTGTGCACAGAAAACTTCATGTTAAAAGCATCAAACTCATAAAATTGAAGATGTGCCATAATATTTAAGATGAACAGTTGGTTAAAAATAGAACAAAGTCATTACACTTTTAGGATTTCTCCTTGGAGAGGATAAAGCGGTCCTCAGGGTCTTCTCATTATTATTTCATCAATCAAGGATTTCAGCTCAGCGCGTGTGCGCGCGCCGTACCCTGTCTGGTGTTGGAGGGGAGACGAAAAGAATCCAGACCCAGACACGCTGCCGCGCGCCTGCCCAGACAGCGGCCTGAATGCCTGGGATGAGCGCGGGACGGCGGTGGTACGCGCGAGAGCTTGGCCGGGCCACGTAGCGGGGCTGAGGACACCGGTGCGCAGGTATCTCCGCAGCCCATATCGCACATCAACAAATGATCTCACACACATTTGCACAAAGAAACTATTGGCATTGCCCTTTCTAAATGCACATCCGCGAATGTAGAGGCAGAGCGAGCGAGAGAAGTGCGCGTGCAACCCTGAATCTGTGCAACTCTGATTGCACGAACGCAAGAGGGAGGTCGCTCTCGACGGAGGTAAGCCAGCAAACCTGCAACAAAATGTTGCTATATAACTTAACTGTATGCACTTACATGTATGACAAGCATGGCAGCTGCTTGGGGAAAGGCACAGCCAGGTCGCCGGTAGCCGGTGCCCGGAGCCACTGTGAGAATTGTCCGTGAGCTGAGCTAGCACTGACTTTGTGACAGTGTCGAGTTGAGTGGGTTTGTCAGTACAGCAGTCGGGGTTTTGTTAGGAAAGCGGCGCTTTTCATCTTGCAAGACAAGAAAGATACGTCGATAACAAAGCATGACATCTGCTTTTCATCTAGCTTCACGTGGCTCCGATAACTGTCGCACTTTTCCTTTTAAAGTGCAGTGTCGAAATTAAGTGTAACGTTAATGCTAAATATCTGACGTTAATGCTAGCGTCAAGCTAACTAGCCCCAATCTGGGCGGTTTTGGGTTAAAAAAAGTGAAAGTCTTGTATCTGTTGTTAGCTGATGCATGTCAGTAAACAGCAGCCTTCAGATGATAGAGCTTATGCAAGCTAATATTACTGTTCATGTAGTAAAGTAACCTTAACTGCACTAAAATATCTAATGGCTGCACCTTGAGCTAATGTAGCCAAGTTAGCTTGTCATGTGTGTGCAGGTTAGTACCTATGGAGTGAGGCTAGCTAGCTAAGTAGCCTAAGTTGGCCAGGCCTGCAGTGTTACTGCTGTTCGGTGTATAATGTTGCTTTTTTGTTTTAACCCCTTCTTCGCTTTATACACACTGCAACATTAACTCTGAGCCGTGTAGCTGGAAAGATTACCCACAACAAGACGTAGCTATAAAACCAGAAAGTAGCTGCTGCTGCACCATATCTCGTTATACTTCCCAAAATGAAATGTTGCTTTTGCACTTCATAACCCTGTATAAGCTTGTGTGACCCGGTCCTTCCGTTTTTATTTAAGCATGATTTCTTGCTCTACAAATTAACATTTAAACAATTCACACTGAATACGCCCATGTTATCTTTCCCTATTCAGAGGAGAGATCCAGTGTGAACATCAGTGCTGCTCTCAGGTTTGACAGTGACTCTGAGCAGTGATGAGAAGACAAAAACTTGGGAGAGCTAAGATAATACCCACTTTTCTATGATACCTCAGATGATTTATACCAGACCAAAAACACTAAGTACTGCTCTTATGACCCGATTATGGGCTTGAGGGCCAAATACTCACAGAGGCACGGCGCACCCCTGCAGTGCACCACACAGTGAGCTGGTTAAGGTCTTATGAGTTTGGACTGAGTTTGGAATGTGAACCTTCACACGGGTCCTCCACAAGCTGCGAAAGGGAAAGCTCATTAAAGTCTAGACTTTAGAGGGAGCATGGATTTGAGGAGCACTGCTGCATAGTCAGAGGTAAACGTGACGCATTTTGACTGCTTCAGAGGTTTCATCTGCTTTACTGTCACAAGCCAAGCATCTGCGAACCCTCGCACTGTCTAATGCTGTTGGTTGAAATGTTGTATAGTACTGTCGCAGTAAAGCTCCCATCCTGTGTCATTCAAATCTTAAGCCACAGCAGCATCTATCCGGTATATGACTGGCTTTGTGGCTTACCGTATATGAAATTAGTTTTGGTTTCTCATCGTGTCTCTGAAACTTGACTGAGGACAGCTGTAAATTGGTTATTGTTGAATAAACGTTGATTTCTGGGCAAGTTTTGCTGAGCATTAGTAATGCTTTGGATTGCTTAAATGGGCTGTCAGAGAGACATGCACTTTTTTTCCTTCTTTTTTGCGCCAGGGTGCAAAGTTCATCTTTGAAAGCTGTCCAAACTAAAAAAAAAAAAAAAAAGAGTTGCAAATGATTATAATTCCAATAGGTTTGACCTTCCGATCTGACAAGGTGATTGTGCAGGCTAATTACCAGTGATACTGATATTGAAGTCTGCGTTCTACTTGATTCCCACATCAAAGGACTGCATTATTTCGCTGTGAGTGAAACTCTGAAATGACTCATCATTGATAATGATAAGCCGGTGGAAGGATTTTACTCAATATGGGTTGCATAACCACAGAGTGTGTTTGTTTATTTGCACATGTGCATTTTCTTTTTGACAGTTTTCCGCAGTCAGTTTAGCACTTTTGCTTGTGTTGCGAATGACAAATTAAATGCATGTTTAAAATTAGCTGTTTCATATGCTTTCAACCCCACAAATATTTATTTTAATCACACACGGGCTGAAAAGAGGATGTAACAAGCCGATTGCATGTTAAATCAGGTTCAGGCAATGGTTTCCCATGCAATTTATATTCCTCTGTCATCCAGACGCAGGATAATCTATTAGGCTTTGTGTCTAAGACAGCCATGTGAGTTGAGTTGCTCTGTCAGTGCAGAGCGCGCCCTCCCCTTGTGGTCTTAATGCTCTCAGAGCTGCTGTCCAATTCTCAGAAAGGATCAGAGTCAGCATGCACAGGAAGGCAGGTGTGCCTGTATGTGTGGATAGCCAAATTCTACATAAATGGCTTTCGCTTGTACTTGTAAAACTGGTAGAACATAAATTCATGTATGTTTGGCTTTAATAAAAGCTCAGCAAACATCATTTAGTTCCATTCTCATAACAGTCTTGCATGGTTTCTTATTTCAGTTTTGCGACATGAATTGAAAGGAGGAACAGGGAGATCAGTTTAGGGTTTACCAAGCGAGATTATAGCAATTAACTGGGAGAACTTACATTCAAATTGAGTACTGAAATACACAGAGCATCTTTTAAAAATGGACCGGTGAACAAAGTTGAAAAAAAATCCTGTCAAGTCTTTCAAATATTGATCTTTTATTTGGAGTTATTCTGGTTTTATTCCTGACATTTGCAGCCTCTGTTCAATCAGAATTAGTGTCGACACTGAACTTTCAGTAATAACCACATATGAAAACACGTTTCAAGTGACAAATACTGCTCTAAAAAAATTAAAGAGAAAAAAAAGATGCTTTTTCTAATTGCGATCAATAAATGTGCTCGTAACTGTCAAAATGATCAGGCTTAACATGTCTGCCCTGATTGCAAAGCTCTACACTCATCATTTCACTTTTAACAGACTCTCTTGCTCCTTTTTCTGGCACTATTGCAATCCCTTCATATTAATCATGGCTCTAAATTAAAGACGAGAACAAAGTAGTCTTTGCGGGTCGGTGGGGGGATGTTTGAATATGAAAGTCCCTCCTGCCCTATTTATGTTTTCTTTGTAGACAGAGGAGCGTTGTGTTAAAAAAGAAATAAGCATAAAATGTTTGTGAAGGCACAGAGGAGAGGATGTTTGTCTCCAAGAAAGGAAATGTGTTTTTGTTTCTTGCTCAGGGAGGTTTTCTAGTGAACAAACCGCCCTTGTGCACACTCATTATGGTGAGTAGGGTGTGAGGTTGTTCGAGGTCAACCAACTGTCAGCCAGTGACACCCTTGCTTACATGTATGCAAAAGTCAAGCACATACAAATGCCGTTACAGCAATATTTTTGTGTTTTAATGCTGTCTTTCTTTTCCATCGTTTACTTGCATGAACACGATGATATTACTGTATATTCCGAGCTGCGCAGCGCTTCAGCTTCATTGAAAAGCTGAAATACAGTTTCCTGTGGTTGTATCTGCAACACAAGCTCCTGAGCTGTGGTTACACTATGCTCTCTAACAGTCAATGGGAGGTGTGTGTGCAAGTTGGTGTGTATTGTTTAAAACAAAAAAAAGAAAAAGCAGACAATCTTTTGTTTAATCAGTGCCGTTGCCATCGAGTTGGTGTGGGTTCGTGTTTTTGCAAAGTGTTCACTTTTGTTAACACTGTACCAAATGTTACGCTGGAAAGATATGAAACATAACTTATTTATTGTTCAGGATTCAGAATGTAAGTGATGCTCAGTGATTGCATCTAAGTTGTCACAGCCCTTTGCAATTCATTTGAGCTATCAGGGAGTCTTCCAGACCTCACGTAAAAAGTTTTATCTAACCATCTTCAAGAAGATATTATACATCTTTGTGTGGTGTATATGCTCTCAAATTAAGATGGTATCATGGTGTGTTTTTGTATTTGATTTTTTTATTAGAAATTTCAAAGCAAAACACCTCAAAGGACTTTCATGTTACAAAATCTCAGGATACCACATATAAGCATTACTACAAAAATATTCCCCAAGTGCCCTCAATACATATAAACATAAATATTACTCTAGAAAGCAAACCCTCACTGCATTTTATTTTCTAGTGAGGTGTTTCAGTTGTGGCCTGGAAATATTCAGAATACTCTGCTTTTGTACTTGAATCCACTCACATTCATTTGTGAAGGCTGTGGTTTCTACTCCCACACACAACACTGAAACATTTGTGGGTAAATGTGGCGCTCAGTGTTGAAAACTTGACATTATGGCTTTAGTTTCAGTTCACAGACTCTGTAGTGGCACCTCTTCTAACCTCATCTATATTTCCCCTGTTTTTTTTCTCTCCCTCTTATCTCGCAGGTAATGCACTGTAAATGGCTCTTCAAGCAATACACAGAAGTCATTTCAGCAGCTCCATGTCTGGCATTCAGTTTGTCTTGTCCTGCGCTGCAGTTTGAAGACACCGGCACCCTGCAGGGCAGCAGCCTTCAGAGAAACTGAATCTTGGATCTGCCTACACCTCACATATAACTCGAGAGGAATTTAGCTTCAAATGTTCAGCATCAAAGATTCTGAGCCTTTGATTTTGCAGTCTGATTTTTAAGCACATGGAACAAATCTTGGAACAGATTGTATGTCTTTCCGACTGCATTTCCTACCTTGGACAGCATGGATGCTCTTTTTGAATCAGGTTGACTATCTGTCGCCTCATCCCCTCCTTCCTGTCTCCTCAGTAGAAGGAGGGTGGGGGATTGGTGTGGTGTCCCCTGCCCCTCCTTGTAGAGTAGGTTAGTCTACCTTGGCACCATAGCAGTTATTCTTTTCCATTGCCTTGTGCATCCACCAACTCCATCCCTCTATACCCTCTCCCTCTTCATGAAATCCTGCAAGAGCCTCAAGGAAGAGGTTTCTGTCCCTAGCCTTGGCGGGATGTCACAGGAGGAGGGACGCAGGGCGCCAGTGTCCCAGTCCTATTTTCACTCCCCTAACCCTGATCTGGACCTGACGGGCAAGCTTTATAAGAGGGAGGTTGGTGGTAAGCCGTATTCTGTCCTAGTGGACAATAAAATGGCAGCCAAGACGTCCATGGGAGATCAGAACATCGGTCAGTTGCCGACTCAACATGCGACTCAGCAGCAACATCAGCAGTATTTCAGAGAGGGAGGAGCAGGGCAGGAGGTGGGGACACACGGGTCCCAGGCTGGAAACGATGGCACCTCTGACGACACTGACGATGATGACGAAGATGAGGAGGAAGAGGGTGAGGATGAGGATGAAGATGAAGATGGGGAGGATGAGGGCTTCAAGCGTGAGCAGATCATCGTGGAGGTAAACCTGAACAACCAGACGCTTCATGTATCCAAGGGGGACAACAAAAGTGGAACCGCGGCAGATGACTCAGAGAGAGCTGGCAGCGACGACGACGATGATGAAGATGAGGAGGAGGAAGAGGAGGATGAGGACACTCCCGATGAGGAGGAAGAAGAAGACGAGGAAGAGGAAGACGACGAGGAAGATGAGCTCGGGAGTCGACGGACAAGGTCAAAGCGGGCCCGTCGTGGTTCTAGTAGCGCGGCAGCTCCAAGCCAGCCACGGAGGAAAAGCCTCAGAACGGCTCTGAGCACCGCCACCGCAGGAATGACCACCAGGGGCCGACGGAAGCGCATGGAGCCTCCGAAGAGCAAGCGCAGGTCGGCCAGATCAGCTCCATCGTCCGCCGGTTCCATGACCACGACGATGGCAGGGAAAGCAGAGGTGGAGGAGAAGGAGATGCTGGCTTGTGAGAAGTGCCCGCGAGTGTTCAACACACGCTGGTACCTGGAGAAGCACATGAACGTCACACACAGGCGAATGCAGATTTGTGACAAGTGTGGCAAAAAGTTTGTCCTGGAGAGTGAGCTGGCCTTACACCAGCAGACTGACTGTGAGAAGAACATCCAGGTAAAGCAAACTTCTCCCCCGTCTCACACCATATCTTTCTCTCGCACATTCACATTTTATTCTGAATAATAGAAAAATGCATTTCCAGGGTTCACCATATTCTTTGATAACATCTTTATATACATAGATATATTTAGCAGCTGCCCAGAACAACTTACTTTCAGATTTATTTTGGGTGCTTTGATGCATAAACCTGATGTTCAAACATAGCTTTTTTGCCCACTGAGTGCAGTAAACATTTTAAACATGAAACTGTGGTTTTTCCTGTTACACGCCCATAAAACTGTAAATAATGAGATTGCGGTCTAGGTGTGAAGTTAAGTAACATGCTAGTTTTGTTTCCGGGCAAAGAATTGTGTCATGAAGTTACAGTATCTGTAGCTAAATAATGGTGTTTTATGCTTTCCAGTAAAGTATTTGTAATATTTAAGCCAGAAAACTAAAAAAAACATAATCTGAACGCACTGTCAAACTGCTAACATGTAGGAAAAAACGTATCGTGACCAGCTGTCATCAATGGTGTCACAAGTGGGTTGAATTTGGTTTTGGTTCTCTAAAACAAAAACGTGATTCAGCGTGTTAATACCCAAGGGTCTCGTGGCTGTTTTGAATAGCTTTATTTAGCGCCTTGTTTTGCTGAACTTGATTTGCATCTTTAGTTTGTGTTAGTTTTCTCCAGCCAACCATGTCAAGCTGTGAAGTTACAGGTTCTCTAATAATTAGTTTGGCTTAATGGAGCAGAAAAATAGCATTTTATCAATGCAGAGCCTGTTAATGCACGACTTGTTTCCAGGAGGCAACACTCAATACTCATGCCTTATTATAATATCTGTAAAGGGACGAATGCAGCAAATTGGGCAGGTGAATTGATCCTAAGTGTGGTTCTTATTTTTTTATTTTTTTATTTATTTATTTTTAAGATATTTTTTGGGGCATTTTTGCCTTTAATGGATAGGACAGACAAGTGTGAAAGGGGGAGAGAGAGAGGGAGTGACATGCAGCAAAGGGCCACAGGCTGGAGTCGAACCCGGGCCGCTGCGGCAACAGCCTTGTACATGGTGCGCCTTCTCTACCACTAAGCTACCGACGCCCCCTAAGTGTGGTTCTTATTAAGCAAATCAGAAATATTGACTGAATAAATGACTAAATATAAAATGAGAAAACTGCTCTGGCCAGTGGGTGGTGCTTGCCAGGTTGCAAACATTCTTATTTACAGCTAAACAGTACACTACAATATGTTTCTGAAAACATTTGAGGCAATGCAGTAACAGAATCTTGATTGATATTTGATCAGAGCTGCCAAGTTTGAAAGTTTGACCAGAGTTTACAAGCAGTGACTGACATGATTGACACCTGTGTTAGGGACTCCTCGGCTCTGATTGGTTGTTTTCAGTGAGCCGCAGTCTGATTCTAGCAAATGCCATTAGATTCAACAGGGGGAGGAGGGACATGGTACTTTTCACAGACTATCTGGCTCATTTACTTTGTAAATAACAAAAACTTATTTTCATAATTGTAGCTTTAATAACAGTGTATCATGGTGGACGTGATACTGAATTTTTACATTGAACAACAGAAAAAATAATCAACTTGATTAGAAATAAATGCAAATATAACACAAATAACCAATTGCACTCCATCACCGGTGGAGCCAAGTTAATCTTCATAATCAGCTTTATGAATCAAAGTGTGAAGAGAGATTGTTTTTAGGTTCACTACACTTTTATCTGGAAGGTCTAACAACTGGTTTGTCAATTTCCTGGTCAAACATGTATCGTGAAGACAAAGGATCATACCATAACAAATCAAAAAATAAATCAGGGGTAGTATAAATATCCTTCAGAGTACAGTGAACTTATTTTAAAATGGTGCAGCTATCAACTGAGCTTCAGGGTTCATGGATAAAATCAGAAACACACAAATTTTTCCCCGGTGCCTCACCAATTTTATGTCAGTGGGAAAAAAGAAAGACGCTGTTGGAAGAAAAAAAATCTCACATGATAGCTTGGCAAGCGTTTGCCAGAGGACATGTGAGAGATACTAAAACAGTGGAAGTCTCTTTCATATGATGAAACCTAAATTAAGCTTTCTGGCCGTCACATTAATTGCTTGAATTTTGGTGTTTTTATATATTGGTGGCAACGTGATGCTGTGGGGATGCTTCTCTGCAGGGCACCCTACAGTCTGCAAGATAACTGCCAGTACAACTGGATTTATTTTCCAGCAAGACAGCAGCTTGAACACAGAGCCAGAGGTCAGGAATGGCACCAAAACAACACTGACTACCTTTTATATGCACAAAATATTCAGGGTTTTGCCTTTTTTCTGAATGAAATGATATTCCTACTAAGCTGTTTACTGGGCTAATAACAGTGATTGTTCCACTAATATTCCTGTTTACATGCAGCTGTGCATACTGCAATTAACATGCCCTGACTTGTTTATCACATCAAAATATGGAAAAGTGGGAATGGCTGGAGCTGCTTATGCCTTTGTGCTTCTTTGCATCAAAATAGGATTTTTTTGTGTGAACACAGCCTTCCTGTTTTATTCCTTCAACCATCCTCTTGAAAGGGTTGGCGCGGCTATATTTGCGCATACCCAAAAACCAAGTTTAAAAGTAGGTGTGTTTCTCCTGCCATCCAGAAATGTGGGCTTTTCTTTTGGGCATGCACCTACACCACAGCCTTGCAAACTGTTGGCTAATTGATTGCATACTGACTGTAAACAGGCAAGAAGCCGTGTGTCGCAAACATTTAATTTGAATGCACTGGACACGTGTTCAAAAAATGCTCTCAAAACGTGAATAATAACATCATATCCCGAATATCTTAATCGGAAAAGGCCTAAATCAGAATATGTAAATGGAATATGCTGATAACATGACCCGTTTTAAATTCATAATATCGTCATATTCAGAATAATGGTGGAATATTAGCATACAATATTCTGTATTTTCCACTTCAGTCTGAACTTATATGTCTTGCAAAGAAAAATAAAAGTGTCCAAATGTGCGAAGCTGGTTCAGATTGACCTACACTGACATTACGGTGTTTCAAAGGTGCTTTAACTGAATATTGATTTGAGAGGGATCGAATATACACATTTAATTGTTTTGTAACTTGCTTTGACGTTAATTTCCACCTTGATTCAGTTCCATAGAACAAATCACGACAAGGTCCAAGATGGATAAATACTTCACAAGTGAAGAATATGATTTAGTCAGGAATCACATCTGCAAGCTGAATTAATATTGATGGAATCCACACTTTCCTGTTTGTGTTTTTCCCCCTAATGGCCTCCAGGTTGTGTAGTCTGTTAACTTCCTCAGAAGATGGAGAGGGAGTTCAGGGAATTAGACACATTGTGATTTTTTCCCCAGCAGAGGGAGCTGTAGTATAATGAAACAGTGTTGGCAAATATGAACCATCTGATGGCCATCAGGTGTTGTTTGCTCATGATATCAATCAGTAACAATAAGCTTTATCTTTTTTTTTTCTCCTTGTATGTGTCCTTTAGTGTGTCTCCTGCAACAAGTCTTTTAAGAAGCTGTGGTCACTGCATGAGCACATTAAGATTGTGCACGGCTATGCCGAAAAGAAGTTCTCGTGCGAAATCTGTGAGAAGAAGTTCTACACTATGGCACATGTCCGTAAGCACATGGTTGGTAAGTGGGGGTGTTTTTTTTTTTTGTTTTGTTTTTTTTTTTACAGTTCCTGTTGTGCTGCATTACAATATCACATCCTGTTGGTGTGAGTCACCACGACTCAGAGTTCAGTATGACTGAGCCACAATATAATCACATTCTATATTATAGATATATATTTTTTGTGGCTGTACGCTTACCACTGTTACATTTTTTTGTATAATCATTAGATTAACTTTCTTTAATTAACTTAAATAATGTAGTAGTCGCCTTTATTCATGCACAGCTATCCTGGTTGAAATCTTGATGTGACCTGATCAGGTGTTTGCTGTTGTCTCAGTATTGTTTTCCTCTCTCTCTTTCTTTCTTTCTTTCATCCGTCTCTTTCCCCCAAACCCAGCTCACACTAAGGACATGCCATTTACCTGTGAGACGTGTGGGAAGTCGTTTAAACGCAGCATGTCTTTAAAAGTTCACTCACTCCAGCATTCTGGAGAGAAGCCCTTCCGTTGTGAGGTAAGATGAGCACACACTGTGGCCCCTGTTCAGACATGATCTCTTATATTGTAATAAATCTAGATGAGGTCCAGATCTAGTTGACAGGTCTCAGCAGTATTATATGTTGTCTCACCTGCATCTGAAGCCAGTGCTACATGGACAAAGTATGTGGGAGAGGACATACAGCCAAAAAACACGACCTCCTGCTTTACAGTGACATAATGACCCTGACAGCGGCTTTAAAATGCAGATACAGTCTATATTTGTCCCCAGTGCACCCCATCACAAGTGGATGACACTAAATACAGGTGTCCCTCGGAGGAATTTTAGACTTGTTTATCTTGTTAGGTTGAAAAATGCGTGGCCATGTGAAAGGTCACTCACGCAACACAGACAACATGAGCCTTTTTACCGTGACAGTTCCCAGGAATCCACTATGCATTTTCCAAGCAGCCTAAATTCCACAGCTCAACGATGATTTTTTCTTCCTGCCCGCAGTCACGGTTTGATTTCCTTTCCTGCCTGAACAAATGTCAGAACCTCTATAACGTTGACATACTGGAGTGATGGTATGCATTAAATGCGGCTTTTCACAAACAGGCACACTTAAATGTCATCATCTTCCTCGCATGTCCTTTTTATAATGTATTTATTTTGAGCTCAATTCCGTACTCGGAGTGTTCAGCTGTTTGAGTGGAGCAACTGAAGGTTACAGTTCTGTTGAAGTTGTCCTTGTGTGCCTCCAAAAGGAGCTTCAAGGTAGTTTTTACTCATTAGTTTGAGCAGAGGAGCATCTGTGCCATGTGGTTTGTGACCAACCCCAAAATAGTCAGTTATATTCAGTCGATGCCTTTCAGAGGGGACCGTCCTCCTGTTCTTTAAACATTCAGTGGACAGTTAGGATGTCAGAGTTATACATGGAAGTCAGACCATGTCAAATATTAGCAAGTTCACTAGTTAACCAGAACGTTATATAATTATAGAACTAAGTGTTCAGTGTGTTGGGCTTTAACCAGCAACTGTTATAGATGCATTCAGTCACATTGTGACTTGCAAGCTTATTTCTGCTCAACAGGGTTAGTTACAGTTGATTATCAAACCCTCTCCTCGCTTGTGAATCACAGGAAGTTGACAGATGGGGTGCCTTACTTCCACCCGAGGCTTTTTAATACCCAACCACTTAAAGGGTTGCACACAGGGAACATGTGTGTATGGGTGGAGCTGCTCAAATGAAATGTTTGAAGTCTTTCTACTCTGCAACATGTGATTACATGCCTATTAAGGGTGTATGTAATGTATAGGCCATTCTCCTCAGTGGTCTTATTCTGTAGTGCCATATGGAAACTGCTGGATTTCTTTCCCCACAGACGTTTATTTAGCCAGGTGGTGCCATTGAAATTATAAATATCTCATATTAGGGAAAAACACCTGACCAAGAAAGCCTCATAATGCAAACACACAGTTTGGTGACATGCACCCAAATAATCTGGTTATTGCTGGCTCGCTGCAGTAACCTAATTTCTTAAACCTCATATACATATAAATGAGAAATCTGCTGCCATTATCAGATTAAGGGATTAAGAGAAATCTTGTTAACACAGCTCGATATCTGGGGCCTAAACTACAAAGTCAGTTCAACATGCTCTGGGCCCAGTTGTTCAGAACAGAAGCAATCTGATCAGATTTCAGCTGATGGATAGGATCAAACCTTGAAAAAGGATTCTGAAATCAGAGTAGATCTTGTAATCTAGTCCTAGTTTTAATCTGGATCCAACCTTCAGTATGTGACATTGAAAAATTTTTAGTAGGATTGGGATATCGTTGATCCAAAAATAATAATAATCACGATCAAAGCAGAAGGTTGGAGACTGGGTTGAGTTCAGGAACAAACTGTAATAAATCTTTTAAATCGGTGAAATATATATATTATTTATATTTTGAACTTGATTTGTTTAACAGTTACTGTGATTTTGAACAGCTGTGCACAGGATATCTTTTGGTTGTCTGGCTTCATGAACATTTACCATCTGGATAACTGGTATCAGGAAGCTGGTTTTCATCTCTGGGTTTTCCCATACAGCCACAAGCATGTTCATGTGAATTACGCGTGGTTGTTTATTACGTGCAACATCATCTGAACCATGAATGAAGTACTTCATATGATATGAGATGAAACTGTGATACTAATTACCTACGGGGGCGTGCTGATTTAGCGACAGCAAAAAGTGAAATTCATGGAGTGAAACAACAGAATAAGAAGATGTAGGAACACTAGAAATCATTTCAAATATTAAAAGTAGGCCAACGTTTGAAATATATGACTGTTTATGTGGACGTAGTGGCACGTAAAAACACTTTCACTTCTGTCTGACCAGGATGTTGCGTTTATAATCACAGGGGCCAGTGAACAGTTTGTTTATTTTACCTGGGATTTACCCTGTTAAAAAGGGAACCAGCTTTGTGGTACTGAAAATATTTGTTCCCATTAGTCACTTAGAAAAAAATACCAAAGTTATCCTTTAAGAGCAGTGTTAATAACCTCAATAACCCCAAATCCTACTTCCTATTTACAGGCATTGGTAGAAACTGTTTTTTTTTCTTCTTGTGTGCGTGTAAAAGTAGACAATATGCAGCAGTTTCATAACAGCAGTCCATCAGTAAATAAGATCACATTAACTTTTTCAATGCTCAAAAAGTATAGAAAGAGGAGGACATGAAAGATGTTTGCCCTAATTCAGGGTTTTTTGGTTTTTTTTTTTGAGTGTGTGTCTGCATGTATGTTTGAGCGTTTCTGTGTCCCTGTCTCTTGACCTGTTGTTATCTGAATGCCTCTGTTCTGTCTCCGCTGTAGAACTGTGACGAGCGGTTCCAATACAAGTACCAGCTGCGCTCCCACATGAGCATTCACATCGGACACAAGCAGTTCATGTGCCAGTGGTGTGGCAAAGACTTCAACATGAAACAGTATTTTGATGAGCACATGAAAACACACACAGGTGAGAAACGCACCCACCATCTGGAAAACAGACCAGTTGTGCTGGTTTGGACTGTTGTTTTGGCCTCTTTTGCCTCCAGGGACTTCTTCAGGAATCTGTTGTACAAGGAAAACTCCATCAGCTTTGTTGACTACAGGAACCTATTTCTGTTGCTGTCCTCTTGAGTCAGTCTACTTCTCACTGTCATTACATGTGCATTTATCCATGCATTTCCTGATACATGTGTGATACGGTCTGATACAGATTATTTTGAACTGAAGCTGCTGATTGATATTTTGCACAATGTTCAGTACTTTTAAACATGGTCACAATGAAGCCCTGTTTGCACCAATCTGTACAGTACGAAACAGTCCAGTTCAGTACGCCTTTTTTTCCATTTCCACTGCGAAAAGTTGAGGATGGTACCAATGAAACCGTTCTATACGGCCCCCATTTTTGGTAACCCCTCTGTTGGGGTACTTAGGACACAGATCTGGTACTAAAAGGTGGAGCTGTGAACACTGCAGTCTGTTGATTGGTCAATAGCGGACAGTCACTCTTGCTCAGCAGCTGGGGTCTGAGAAAGAATAACTTGATTCGCTCGGCCGACTGCCGGCAACATTTAAGGTGGAATGTTAACTTGTAATGTTACTCAATGCACGAGTTGACGACCTAATTCATCGTTGTTACATTCCATATGACAACTTTGACCACTACATTAGTTCTTATATGACATACACTTTTTGTAATGAGTGGATCTTCAAGCTTTATATTTATTAATTTCAACCGGATTATGTGAACTGCATATATTGTAATCCTCAATCGGAGAAAGGGGGAAAAAAGCATTGCAGAGTTGCGTTCCTGTGGGCTACGGCAACACTAAACCCCTGAGCTTGCTTGAGAAGGACTTAATATACAAACCCGCTATTTTTCAATATCCTATGGAGAGAGACTCTCACTGCAGTCTGTTTTATGTTATTCTGTAAATGTCGGCAAGCGGCCTCATTCTGTGGACGATAAATGAGGTGCTGGACGGAGCAGCCCACATACTGTTTGCAGTGGAAACGCTAGGGTCTAGGTACCATCAAGGATCTGTATTCTGGCCAGGGTGTAAAAGCCTGGCACCTCTTAGTCTAGTCATCTAGTGAGCCAGATTGGACCCTTTGTCGAGCCAGTTCTGGCCCACGGGCCGTATGTTTGACACTCCTGTCCTAGATTATCGTTCCCACCTATTAGGACTACCTGTTCCAGAGATTGTGGTTGTCAGTGTTGGGGTAGAGTCTCTTGTGGTTTTGTCACAATAATGATATTTGTAACTGCTATAAAATACCTTGAAAAATACTGACTTGGTTAGTGGCAGAGAATAGCAAAAGGACTGTAGTAAACATTAACAATAAGAGAAAGTGAGAAAGCGCAGCAGGTATCGTTATATCAGTACTGCAGAAAATGAATATTGAAACCATTTCAAATATTCAGAATTGATATGTATTGTTAAATTGCTATTTTTTTTTTTTACAATGCTAGTCTCTAGTACAAGCAGGCTCTGACAATCAGTGGTACAGATACAGGGACTTGGAATTTGACTTTCTTGTAAGAAAAAAAACTTAAATTCATACAGCCAACTTTCCAGTCTAAAAAAAGAGCGTGATAACAGAAAATGGGGTGTAAGAAAAATGTTTCACAGTGTTTGGATTATGTTCAGGCTGAAACAGAAAATTAGCCAGAAAGCACTCAGCTGAGACTTACTATTTTGGAGACAGGTGTCTCGCCGCTCTGGCAACAGCCTTCTTTTCCATCTCTGCACCTCTCCGTTTTAGCGTCTACGGTATTTTAATATCATTTAATTACAAAACATGACATGAATTACATGTCATACGAAGTGGTCATTTATGTTAAATCTTTATGTTAAGTCCTCTTTGCGCACAGTTCTTCAGTTATGCCTGATTTATAGTAGGGTGCAATTGATGCTTCAGTGAAATGTATATATGTTTTAACTTATTAGCCGTGTATCCATTGATTGATCAGCCCCCAGTCTGTCTGTGAGCTGCAGATTCTCCTTACTTCCTACAATGGGCTGAGAAATAAAATCAATGAATCAATGAATACACTCACTGTTGATTTCCTCCTCTGGAGCTGACATGAAAACTATTTTGGTTCAGTAAACGTCTGCTGTCAGTCATCCTGGTGAAGGCAGTTTAGCTAGGCTGCTGTCCTCTCTGCGCAGAGTCAGCGTGGGTTAAAAACAGACAAACTTTTTACTGTTGAAAAATACATCATTTCTGTTGAGCCACACTTGTAAAAAGTGTTGAGCGCCCAACTATAAATCAGGCTTTACATTTTGAGAAGGAATGTGAAAGTGCCCGAAGGACTCAGGTTCTGAGTTAAGTCTTCAGACTATTTTATATATATAAATAAAAAAAGTCAGACATTTTTTTTTTTAAATTATCAGATGTTATGTTTCTTCTGTCTGTTGCAAATCTAAATACAGTCAAATTCGGAAATGTTTTGAGATGAAAACTGTGCCAAACAGCAACAATGTTCCTGGACTCAGTCAGTCAGTCAGCCAGTCACCATACACTCTCTAAAAAAGGAAAGACATGGGAAGTTTCCAAGAAGAACATTATAGTGGTAAGAGCAGGGAGACTTCGCCCAGTTTATGTAATGAGAGGGGCGCTCGACTTCAAAGGAGAGCCTGCATATATTGGGGCTTGTAATGACTACCCAGACACATGCTGTATTACATCCCTCTGGTTTTCTGTCCCTGCTGCATTTCTATTTCTAAGACCAAGCTGAGCAGTGCAGCCTCTTCGTCTTTCACTGTTTTTCTCCAGCAGTGCCTGTCGTGGGTGGACACGCTGCTCTCCATTGGCCCTCATGGTTCTATTTGTGATGTGTAATTACGCTACCTTCTCCTCTGCCTGCCACTAGCAACCAAATTTGAGACACACCCAGTCTTGCCCTGTAATAGGCGGCAGCCATGTTAAACACAAACTCCCAAAGTTTGGTTCACTGCTGCTCGCAGATTTTCCATGATTTCCTGAGAGTGCAATGTAACAGTTACAGAAGACTAGCACATTAGCTGCCACCTTTTGATATTCAGTTGGTTTGGAGAAGCTTCACACATAACATGCCAGTGTAAGGCATTTAGAGAGCCCTTCAGCAGCCTGTTAATAGATGGCTGTGTGGGAGGTAGCAGGCATAATTCAGTAGCTCCATGGAGGGAGGTTAATGAGAGCGGCATTCCAACGGAGCTGCTGTTATTCACTTTCACATCTCCTCTCCTCAAAGTGTGAATTGTAATAGCTTCCTGCGGAGTGGGTGGGTTGACAGCGAAGACCCTCAATTCAAGATGCCAACTTATTAGCATTTTTAAAAGAGAACTGTCGCTCTCTGTAGAGAGAAATTAGAAAAAAGTTAACTGTTTTTTTTTAGAGCTTTAATCAGTTGATTATTTTCAATTTGGTAACCATCACATTTGACAACAAAGAATGTGACTCTGATGCATCATATTATTTTCTCTGTGTAGCTCCGGTCTTTATGTTGATTGATACCGTCTCTGTCTTCCTCACACATCAGTCTTTTATTTTCTCAATCTGTGCAGGAGAGAAGCCTTTCATTTGTGAGATCTGTGGGAAGAGCTTCACCAGCCGGCCCAACATGAAGCGCCACCGTCGCACACACACCGGGGAGAAGCCCTATCCCTGCGAGGTCTGCGGCCAGCGCTTCCGCTTCTCCAACATGCTCAAAGCACACAAAGAGAAGTGTTTCCGGGTCACCAGCCCTGTGGTCCTGCAGACCAGCGGCCCACCTGTGCCTGTCCGCCTCTTTGCCAACACCTTCTCCTCCTCTTCCTCCACCTCTGTTCCCAGTCCCTCAGCTCCCACCCCGGCCACCACCTCAGCACCCCTGGGCCTCAATCCAACAGGAGGCTCTATGCCTCCCCGAGGCCCCGTGGGACACACATTCTCCCACGTACAGCTCCACTCAAACCCCTCTCACCACCATCCCCACCCGCCAACAACCCAGCAACACCTCTCAAACGCACCCCAACATGCCCCGCCTCACCCCCACCACCACCTGGCAGTGCCCCCAGTCTCCCACCTGCCCCCGCCCCCGGCCCTTTTCAAGAGCGAGCCCTTAAACCACTGTGGGCACGAAGACAGCAGCTACCTGCACCACATGGCCCCCCCTGACAAGGGCCCAGGGGCCCCACAGCACCACTGAACTGTGCTCCAGCTCTGCAGGCCCACACCAAACCGCGCCTTGTTCCTCCTCTTCTCATAGTCCTGCCTCAGTCTCTCAGTTGCGTGGTCCCTGATGAAAGGGTGCTCCTCTCAAACAGGTTCAAATAAGTCAAGCTACGCATGCACACTTGTGTATGTGACACATCCTCAGTGCACACATTATTTAAGTAAGACCCCGACTTAAATACCATGGTCGACTGACAAAGATTTCACAACCTCTAGAAAATTTTTTGAACATTTTCTTAGGAAATCTATTCGAGTTCTCAATCTGTACATTCATGGGTGTAAAGTATCTCCTTTTCATCAAAAGCTGCTGATGGAGGTTGACGTATGTATTTCCTGGGCTTCATGAATCATCAAGGATCAGTGTCGTTGGACTTTTCTCTTTTTGTCAAGTTGACTTGCACATCGATCAGGACTCTTGCTGTGTGCAGTTCCTCCCCATAGCAATACTCAACCTGTCCTCCTCGTTGTACTGCAGAGCCTCGCCCCACAGCAATGTTTGATGAATGTTGGTTCTGGTTCTACCTGAGCCTTTCTCTGTCTTAAGGCCAAAGTCAAGGCTTTCTGTCAGAGGGGCAACAACAGTAGTGCAAGACGCAGTGCCATAGGTTACAGTAAGAAGGGGGGGGAGGAATTTTTGTAGGGGACTTTGAAAAAAAAAAAAAAAAAAGGTTTTGTAAATGGTTAGCTGAATCCCGACGTGGTCTGAGATTCACATCATGGTTAAATGGTGCTTTCCATTCCAGTACATGAAATATTTCTTAATTTTGCTTTTCCGTTTGATTTTCAGAAGTGTAATATGACAACATAACAATGTATTGTGTCAGCCTGGCTTTTCTACAATGGATTTGAGTTTCGACTAGAAACTCAAATTATGCAGGACATGCACCCTCACACTTAACTCAAGCACACACACTCGAAAGACAACAGACCATTGGTCACTGATGTACTCACCGTGCTCAGTGCAACCTCAGCTTTCAGTACTGTTGGTCAACAGATGTTTTTAGACTGTCAAATACTGCCACTGTGAGGGGCCAGACACATGGCCCCATCAGGATTTACCCCACTTCCCTTCGCTGCTGTTGAAATGATACGGGTTACCACGTGAAAGGTCATTTGACACACACAGAACACACACCGGGACCTTTTTCATCACAGTTCTTAACAGGCAATTATGCATATTCCTCTCAGCCTATATTCCACGGTTTGGTGTGGGGCGTAATGTAAAGGTTTGTTTTTTGACTGTCATCGTACTGGTATACTTTGATCCACACAGGCAAATGCGTGTCTAAACCTGTTGAATGTTGCCTACGCAGAATGATGACTGATGAGTCATTCATACGTCTTTTTTTCTTTTTTTTTATGTTCTCTGATAATTTGCTCAGTTTTAAGCTAATGAATGGTTCTGCAGTGTAGACGTACTGTTGTTAGCACACGATAGGAAATGTCAGGATAAAAGGCAGTGGTCATACAACGTCGAATACTCAGAATACTTGTATAGATAAGCATACATGTGATCAGTCAGCGTAATTACATTTATAAATGTAATAGCTGATGGTGTGAATGTTATTTGTTTAAAGTGGCTGGCAGGTATTTGAGCTGCGTGGTTGTTAGCCCTTTCACCCAGTCTGACAGCTATCAGATGTGTGTGTAGGAGCAACATTGAGCTTTGTGTGCGGGAGTGAATGTGTGCATGCATTAGTCGCTACCAGTCCGTCTGTCTGGTCGTCCCCAGTCAGTGCTCTTCTACCAAAAGCTGCTTTTACACAGTGTGCCCCGGTATATGTGTATTTGGGGATACCTGGGATGAACAATAGCAGTAAATTTAACATGATCCTCTCTCTACCACTCTAACCGTACTCAGTCTGATGTGGTTAAGTAGCTCAGTAGATTAGGATGTCCCCTCTTTTGATTTGAGACCTGCAATTATCCTGCCATTTCTGTGGGTCTTAATAGCGCTGCATTATTTGCTTATCATCTTGTCCCCTCTGGTTCACTGCTGTGCTTCAGCAATTTTGCAGTATGGAACTTTGTCTTTTTTTTTTTTTTTTTTTTGTAAGCCTTTTCATTTGTGTGTATTCTCTGCACTTTACTGCTGCGTGGGTGAGGCGCAGGGAAGGGAGGGACTGACAATGCATTGTGGAACAGAGTGCAGTTTTGGCTGCATGGGAAAGGGTGGAGGTGATTTATTTTGAGTGGATGTTTTTAGGCAAGGAAAGGAGGAGAATCCCGGGTGGAGGCGGTTAGTGTGGAAGGGACCATAGCGAACAGGAGGACATGCCTTTTAGTATGTGCGTAAATTTAATTTCCTATTTTTTCAAAAGAAATACACTTTTGCTCCAATATGGACCTCCCCTCAAAGTGAAAGCGATGCTCCTCCTGCTTTGGCGACTTTACACCAGCCCCTCCAAGCTATGTCTGAAATACATTCTTCTTTTATGTTTGTTCAAGGAGTAATTCCTCCCCATCGTGTCCTATTTCGTCTTTCAGTTTGCCTGAATGATTCTCCTCCTCCTTTCTTTGTTATATAGAATGCACTTTCTACTAAAATTCTTGGCTAGTTAAGAAAAATAACATTGTATATTCTTTAAAGATGTTTTAAAAAAAAAATCAATATACTTTTTCCCCTTTGTATTTTTAACCACTTAATGTAGCATTGCGTATTTTATTATTGTATCTGGTACAAAATGTGCAGCTTTATAATGTCCTGGTTTGTCCTTTTTTTTGTATGTTATCTGGAGAGTGAGGAGAAGTGAAAAAGTTGGGCCTTTTTTGATAATGTACATTTAACTGACTGCTAACTTTGAGAAGTAAAAACAAGTAGCCATGATAATCACATATCTGTGTGCCTCTTATTATCGTCAAATGCGGTGCAGGACGGGTAATTAAGCATGAAATGTAGAAAAATAAGAATTAAGCACAACACATTCCTGGTAGTAAGCTAAGTACTGGGCTTAACTTTCAGCTGTGTGGTGCGTTTGCACAGATTTGATTTTCTACTATTTCAGGGTCACTGGGTTCTTGGCCTAATGCCTGTAACCAAACAACGTCTGCTGGCTGTGCATGACACTAGGTTCAACAGCTGACTGCGTTGCTTTTCAAAGCATTTTATTTGACAAGGGAAGTTTTATGTCCTCTTTTTTTATGACCACTTCCTTTATTTTTTGATAAACCTTAGGTTTTTTCAACTTCGACCCTGTTGCAGTTATGCGAGTCATTTTACATCCACTAAAAGTGCCTGTTTTTGCCACTTACAGGCTCATATTGATATTGTAACTGTATAACAACATTATGGAAAGGATCCCTACAGAGACAGACCTTTTTATTAAAGAGTAAGATCCTTCTTGTTTAAATAGTAACAGCCCCAAAATTGCTATCGCCAAACCAACCAGACTCCATTTGAAAAACAGCCATTTTAGCGTGTATACAGCCAGCATATTGTCACATCTAACCAGGGTGACTTAAGCGTTTATTTCAATCAAACCAGATTTGGTAATTGTTGAGACAGTGGAAAGACAAACCAAAACAGTTTTGTGAGTTCTCTTTTACTTCTGTCGACTTTGAATTTAGTGTGTTTTACTATGATAAAATTGCTGATTATTTAAATGGAGTCTGGTGGCTTTGGCGACAGCAGTTTCCAGGCTGTTTGTTTTCAAACAAAAATGATCTTAATCTTCAACAAAAAGGTCTGTCTATGTAGGAATCCTTTCCATAATGTTGTCAGGTACTTACAATAATCAGTCAGTGGCAAAAACAAGCACTTTTAGTGGACGTACATTGACGGTGCGTAATTGCCCTGAGTGGTCACATTACAGCCTGTTTCACAGCTGCCGGCTGCAGTTCTCTCACTCAGTCCTGAAACAATTTCAAAAATAGTTGTCCCCATTTGTCACCTAGACTAGAAAACATGAAAAGATACGATTCAGGTTGAAAAATAACCAAGTTACCCTTTAAATAGTGTTTGTTTTTGATGAAGACCTGTGAGATCCTAACAGTAGGTTTCACTGTAAGAGCAGTCAGTAACTTCAGGCAGGAGTTCTCAGCTTCTGTCTTTTTATCCAAACCCAAATCATACCTGTAGATGAGTAGTTGCATTTTGAGAAAGTGTCTTTTAAATGCTTGAAACATCAGATCCAAGAGTGAAAACAGACACACAAGGCATTTTTCTTCCCTGGATATCTGTTGTCCCAACACAACCAGCTTTATTCATACATTAACAGAGCGTGTCTTCTCTCAGGGCACATAAAGACACTTACTGTTGCTGGAATAACTCCTAAAATGCAGCGTGCCCTCTATCACCATAGGTGGCTTTAAGTGGCGCACCAATGAGTCACATAATCCTATACGATAGCTGAGCAGGCCGACGGGTAGAGAAAAGTGTGAGTGACTCACTGATGGTGAGTGGGTGGTCAGGTACTGAGGCTCACTTCACAAGCAGAGGAGATAATAACACACCGTCTGTACATCTCCCATTCCCATTTGGGTTTGAAAATAGTCAGCCACCCCAGCTGTTAGTCATTACGCCTTGTGGTGTAGATGAGGGAGGAGGCTGCGTCTGTCAGCAGGCAGATAAGGAGAGGAAGGCTTCACGCTGTGTTCTTCACGCGTGCGTTCGCTGCTCTGAAAGTTGCTGCGCGGTTCATTAATCAGTGTGTGTTTGCAAAGATTTAACACAGACTCCCTTGCTGCGATGCTAATGTTTCTCTGTGGTTAATTATGGAGATGCCACATTTGAGAATATATATTCACTTTTGATACATATAATTCATTTTATTGCAACCTGCCTCTCGTGATACAGCTCTACCTTCATTTCCTGTGTCCTTTACAGTAAAGGACAGAGGTCAAGTACAGCTTCAGAGCAGCACCGTGCTCACTGTCACACTGACCCAAATCCTGACTGTGCTGTGGAAGGAGGGAGCAGGAAGTGTGTTGCATCAGACAAGCTGAACAATTGAGATTATTCAAATACTTTCCTGGAAAACTTCACCGCCATGCACCGTGTTCTCTCACACACCTCGCTCCAAACTGGGTCAACACAGTTAAAAAGAAATATTGCAGAGTTTACTTTGCTCTCTTCTCAGACCTGGTGTGTTTATTCTCCCATGTGTCTCACCTTAAACACTCCACTGGAAAATGTGTGAGAACAGTTTGTCACACACACAGATCACAAACACACATACACAGTCCTGCGGATATATAGAGCCAGCAGAATATTTACATTTGAGTCCTCTTTTTTTCCTGTCTTCCTTCCTATCCTCCCACAGCTCCCCCCCTCCTCTCCTCTCCTTTTGAGAGTGTCGTGCACGCGCTCAGTAGGCTGCTATTAAATGGGCGGACTTGGAGGCGCGGTCACGCTCACAGCGGCTCCGGTGGTTTTGACTGTCACATAAAAGTGCGCGTCCCACCGGCAGACTGCCGGAACTCTGTCTCTGCTCCCTGAGAGACCGGATCGGACCGGACCGACACCTGGGGGACCGGGATCAGCGCTCTTGGCACAGTAATGCTTTTTATATAGGATTTAAGAGAGTTGAAGTTCGAACTGCTGCAGCTGCTGTTGTTATTGATATGAGAAAGTAGGTTAGTTTTGCAGCCGGCAGATAAGGAAGACAGGCTGACAAGTTTAAACAGAGTTTGTAGGTTGATAAAGGCTCTTGGACAGGTATCTCTGCATTGTGCTGCAGCCTAAAAATAACGCAGTGTTCCTCGGTTGTTGCAAACAAGAGTTGAAATGTGTTTGAAAGACATGCAAGACTACAAATCCAGTTTTTCTAGGGATCTTTTATTCTTACTGATCTGTTTTCTGCATGCGCTTGTGAGAATAATTAAGTTATAATATAGGAGACTTCGGGATGTTTGACTATTGTTTAAGCTGCGTGCTGCTGTCACGCACCGCTGTGATGCACTTCACTAGTCACTGTGTTTTCCTCATGCAGACAATAACAGCCGCACAGCTTGAAGGCGCCGGCAGGGGATCAGGAAACACACGACATCAGCGGCATCTACAAAGGTAGGCACACACACACTTACACACACAAAGATGTGAGGCTGTCTTGCTCGTTCATGGTGCGCACTGTTTATGAATGTGCATGCTTGCTTGCAGGATCTGCATGGGCCCCTGAGGGCTCTTCCAGATCCGATTATAGCCGTATCATAACCACAATATCTCCATCCAAATGTCTAACTTGTGCTACAGCAGGATGACCCCAGCCCTCTCTTACCTTGGCTGGAAGTCCTGTTTGTCCAGAGAGTTGTGGTTTGAAAGCGCTGCTGGCTGCTTTGCTCTTTATAGGTGTTTTTATTTATATAATATTCACATTATGGAGCTAATTTTACATTTATATTTGATTCTGTTTTCACCTCCACCCCCAATCAATGTTTCCCAGAAAGCCATCCTCGGTAGCCTCCACCTTACTGTGGCCTGCCTTGCGTGGGATGCTGCCGCAGAGTGGGAGTTGATGCCATCAGTAAGAGGTGTTGCATAGTAGTCAGATCATGGGGGATTCAATATTCAACTGCTGTTATGTCCCACCCCACCCCCCAGGAGAGGGGGAACCCGCCGGGTCCAGACGCGCACACATCATGGCCTCCAACTCAACGAGCATCCCCTCCGACAAGCGCTTCCTCATCTTCTTTGACTTTGATGAGACCATCGTGGATGAAACCAGCGACGACATGGTGGTGCAGGCCGCCCCGGGTCAGCACCTCCCGGACTGGCTGAAGGACACCTACCAGCCCGGCCGCTACAACGAGTACATGCAGCGCGTCTTGGGCTACCTGGCGGAGCAGGGCGTCACCGAGAGCGACATCCGGAGCATTATGGAGAAGATCCCGGCCACGCCCGGCATGCCCACCCTCTTCCAGTACATCCGCACCCGGCCTCTCACGGACTTTGAGGTGGTGCTGCTGTCCGACGCCAACACCTTCTTCATCGAGTCCTGGCTGCGGCGCGCAGGGGCCCGCCAGCTCTTCCACCGGATCTTCACCAACCCGGCCACCTTCAACAAAGACGGCCGGCTGGTGCTGCGGCCCTTCCACTCCCACGACTGCGCGCGGTGTCCCAGCAACATGTGCAAGCAGGTGGTAGTCAGGGACTATGTGGCGCGCAGGACGCAGGAGCGGGGCCGCCCGTACCAGAGGATCTTCTACGTGGGGGACGGGGCCAACGACTTCTGCCCGGCGCTCGCCCTCGGGCCCCGCGACGTGGCATTCCCGCGGCGGGACTTCCCCATGCACCGGCTGATCACGGAGACCCACGAGGCCATGCCTGGGGAGTTCAAGGCGGTCACGGTGCCGTGGAAAAGTGGGGATGATGTGGTGCAGAGGCTGAGGAAGCTGGTGGCAGAGTAGAGGGTCACACACAGAGACAGAGGGGACACAGTCAAGGGGCCAGCTGACACTTGTAGGCATATTCTCAGGTATAACACAAAGTGTTGAAGGCAATAAAATACAGTCAGTAAAATAAAGTGTCTGCCTGGCGTCCTGCCTGCAAGTGCCTTAGTCCAGCCTCGTGTTTTGGTCCGGAGGTCAGAACAGAGGCAGTTTATCATCAGCGGGTTAATGATTATGGAGACCTGCCACCTTCACCTAAAGACAGGGGATCAATGACACAGCAGTTTTTTTTGTTATAACGAATTATGTTGATGGGTAGAATAAAGGTTGAGGGGATCTGCATTGTAAGCTCAGTGGGACGTGGTGCTTATATAGGCCTGTGTGTTAAACTGGGGAGCACCCTTATAGCAATATTTAAAAATGTTATCATCCAAGTGACTTCCTTATTATCATTTCTGAATATGAAATATTAAATTATAATCTCAATAAATGGAATCTGAGTAACACTGCCATCTGATGGGCATTATAACAGAATATTTTTGTCAACATGCTTCTCAGAGGATATATGTCTAATGTAGAAATGTATGACTATGTTGTAGCCAAAGAGTGTTGAACTTGTTTATCAGTGTGTTGTGTCTTTCCTGTGTAGGCCAGGCCTACTGAAGAATAATGAACACCAGCAGGAATAAAGCCATCAACTGAAACCCTGTGTGTGGCTGAGTTTATCATCACACCGCATCAACATTCATGTGGAATAATACAGGCCTATGTCTCCCTGATTACACAGCTACATGTGTCTGTGCCACAGAAAGGCCACATACACATGTTTCACTTTAAACAGACTGGACTGCAGGGAAATTTAGTTTTTGGCACACCGATCATGCACACCACAACTTCATATCAACTCTGAACAAGTTAGAGGTTAAAGTCCTGTGAAAGCAACAATAATAGCACAAACTTATAGTCAAAACAACCTCGAGTACTGCTCATAAAGTCACATGTTTCCCCCATATTAAGGTTCTACAGTTTTCCAAGGGTTAATTTAGTCTTATTATAATTTATTATTAATTTTAACGGGTTAAAGTTTCTGCCTCTAATACAAGGTGATACTAAAACGTGTAGTTTCCTTAGTAGGCTATTACAATATCTATAAATAATTTATTTTGCTTAAACTAATGTAATTAAAGTTATTCAGTCATAAATGCCCATTATAACACACACACACACACACACACACACACACACACACACACACACACTCACACACCCACACACACACACAGAGTTGATGGAGGTCATCAGTACATTATCATGAATGACTGTTCACTGCCCTCCAGTGGTCACAGTGTGTAACTACAACAGCTGGAGGCTATGCTACCGTGATGTCCTTTCTCTCCTCTCTGACATGCTGGTAACTGGATGGTTGTGTCTTTAATAATGAGGAGTTTCTTTCAGAATATTATATCTTCTCAACGCCTGAGGGTTGGTGCTTTACCCTCTGGTGACTGTGTGCTGTTTAAATCTCAGCCAAGGGTTAATGTCTAATAAGTGCCCTTTGTTATATGCCCACACACCAATAGGCAAAATTTGTTTCTCCAGTTATTCTGGTAATGACAACAGATCTATAAGAGCCCTGAACCAATGAGATATTACTACATTCACATATGTCATTCCATACTGGAATCTGGAATTTGTGCATGATATGGTGTGGGAGAAGGCTTAAACATTACCTACAAAGTAAAGGGATTTTGTAAAAACTCATTGAAAAATTCTATCCAGCTTAAAACTATGCTCAAAAGTATTTAAGAGAGACATTGATGTGAAGTGTAGTTTTTGTTATGGATGTCCAGAGACTGTTGGGTATTTATTTTTGCACTGCCCGAGTGTGCTTTTACTACTGAGAATATTGATGAGAATTTGTTTGAGGAATTTGTTGTTTGGTTTCCTAGTAAATAATACATAGAAGAGCACTCGTGAACTCATTATTATAATGGTCAAATTTCATATTCATAAATGTAAATTCTTAGAAAGGAAATCATGCTTTATTGCATTTAGCACTGAGTTAAGATAAGATAAGATAAGATAAGATAAACATTATTGAGTCCACACTTAGGAAATTGAAATTGAAACTGAAGGGTGACAGTTTATACTTAGATTAAAAAAAATAGAGATTAAAAAATAGAAAATATACAGCATATATACATATAAATATATAGTTCAACCAATACAAAAAAAAATGAAGAAAAAAAAAAGCAATGAAAATTGCACAGTTTAATGAGCAAAGACTTCAGGGGAAAAATTATTTTCTGAAGAATCTACACTTCCTTAAATATTAGTATAAATTAAGATCTGCAAATATGAATACAAAGCATCCCACATTTATTACACAGCATCTCAACAATGCATTCCAGGGCAGATCTGAATTTCAGTTTCAACAGACACAGAAATTCCTGTCAGTGCATGCAGTGTGCACATTTTGTAGTGGACAGCCATGGAGGATTCATTCAGCTGAACTAATTTAAATGTCAGTTATAAATGCCCATTATAAATCTATTATACAGGCCTTATTCGGTATACATCTGATTGAATTTTATTAAGTAATGATCTTGTTCCCTAAATACACAGACAAAGAGAGGGAGAGAGAGGTTGCGAGAGAGAGGGGCCATTTTTTTCAAGTACATTTATTTTATGACCAACTGGAGTTGATGGATGTCACATTACAAATGAATCTTCACCTTAAGATACAGCAAGCTGTTGTGTCTACTAGGCCTATTTATTTAATGCCTATCACCAACAGTCAGTGGTTATAAAATAGTGTCAAGATTCAACAGTTTGTTACATGGTTTTACGTGCAGTGAAATTCAGGGAGTCATACTCTTAATCTTGCGATGAATTTAGAAACAAAACATTCACAACATACCGAGTAGTAGTTGCGGACCATGACCACTAGAGGGCACTAATGGCACTCACGTCAGCCATCAACATTGCAAGAATGTCAAGCAATTAAAAATAAAACTTCATAATTTGCTGCAGTGACTATGGAGATATATAGGTTTGGTTTAAGAAACAAGTAACGTAATCTTGAGCGATGCGGCGATATAACCTTCCACAATGATTGTGCTTTGAAAAGGTCGATTACGTGTCGAAGTCGTCTGGGGGCGATAGTGAGCGTAACTTTGAACGCTCACCGCTCTCAGAGATCAGTAGAAGAAGAAAGCCGGAAGGAGTATCTCATACGCATGGCGCTATTTGGGAAATTATTTATCTTCTGAATACATACACAACTTTTATCTTGTTTTGAAACCAGTTTTTGCTCACCGCAGTTTAACGGAACACAGGTAAATTGGTTTTGCTGCCTCCTTATTTTAGTGAAGTGTTGCAAGCTAACGGTAAATAGCAACGTAACAGAAACGTCGCCGTTAAGTCATTCATTTCTTTACCTGTTAGCCGATTAGCATGCTAGTTTTTGGCTCACTAATAGTGTTGCAAACACAAGAAAAAGAGAAGTGTGTAGTTATCGACAACTTCTCACTAAATCCAAAGTTCAGTTTAATGGTTTTGCTGACGTAAAGCTAGTATATGTTTGATGAACAGATATCTAAACTGGCGGTGCATGCTATGCTACGTGCAAAGTTAGCATTGGTTGTGGTGGCAGCCAGAGGTGCCTAATGGTAAGCTAATGGTAGTTATCAGTGGCTTTTGAAACACAAGCAAAGCTAATTCACATTACAGGACATACTACCATCACTACGGAGATGTGAACATGACTAAATTATTGATATTCATTGCCTCACACAGCTACACTTAATGTTTAGTTAACGTCATGTCAATGAAAACTGGCTGTAAGCTTATTTAATTTGATACATGTCTAGTTGTATCCTGTTACGTCCTCTCTCCACAGAGAAAGCTAGTATTTGCTACTTAACGTTAATCTTCATTCATGTCGCACCATGTTGTGTTACTATTGGATCTCATTCACATAGTGGCTTTACCAAAAAACAAACTCTCTAACATTTAGTAACACATGACCCTCTCTTTCAGTTCTCTACGAGATGGAGGCTGATCTGTATGACGAGTTTGGAAACTATATTGGTCCAGAGCTGGACTCTGACGATGATGAAGATGATCTGGATGCAGAGGACAGGGATGTCGACGAGGTACGCTTCAAAATCAGTGTAAACAGTTATGCAGTACTTTAGTTTGTTTATGCAGTATGTGGAAATCTAACTCTGTTCTCTTGCAGGGTGATGAAGATGATGATGATGAGCCTGCTGATGCCGATGAGGATGTCCCCGGTATGGAGGTGGTCCTGCATGAGGACAAGAAGTACTATCCTACAGCAGAGGAGGTTTATGGGCCTGAAGTGGAAACTATTGTCCAAGAGGAAGACACACAGCCTCTCACAGGTTAGATACAAAGAACAGTGTACGTTTAAGAATGTCGAGGATACACATCAAGGCTACCTGCACCTAATGTTTTTCTTTTTTGTATTATTGATTTATTTGTCCATTATTGTCTCAATGAATCATTCTGTCAATAAAATGTCAGAACATTATGTAAAACACATGCCGTAATTTCCCAGAGCCCAAAGTGACGTCTTGAAATGGTTTGTTTTATCAGACCAGCAGTCCAAAAATCCAAAGCTATTTGGTTTATTATCGTACATGACAAGGAAAAGAACAAACTTCTCATATCTTAGAAGGATGAAGAGGTACCATCAAAACTTTGGCTGGTTTGCTAAAAAAGAAAAACTGTAACAATTATTCAGTTATCAGAATAGTTGCCAGCTAATTGTCTGTTGATTGGCTAATTGAGTAATCAACTAATTGTTGCAGCTCTAATGCGCATAGTATTTGGTTACTTAATCCATATGCTGTTACATATTTATATCAGGCGTGATAGATGCTAATAACTCATATGCTGTTCAGATAAACATGCAAATAATAACAATGTTCTTCTTTTCTATCTAGAGCCCATCATCAAGCCTGTGAAGAACAAGCAGTTCACCCTGATGGAGCAGGAGTTGCCTGCCACTGTTTACGATATGGAGTAAGTCATCTTCACCAGGGCTGAGCAATATGTCAATATATTTTCATGCAAGATATAGATTTCCACTTTTCCGAAAGCAATGCCAGTATGCATCTCTCCTTTATCACACTCTCCACACAGCTCTGCCCCACTCAGTCACGCACAAGTTCTCAGAGAGACACATTGCTGTTACTCTGTGAGATGAATAAAATTACCGCAGCAGCACGTGTAATATAGTGCTGGCTGCGTGTGTGTGAGGTGGATCTTAGCGCATCACAGTTCTTGTAGCGTTGAGACAGCGCCTGGATGCAGGAGACAGATGTGTTTCAATAAATGCAGTGACAACACAGACATTTAATATACAAGACGTATATAATGCAGACAAAGTGTCTCTCGCTCCTTCCCTCCATCGGCCTCTCTGTTGATGCTCTGTGCATAAATAAGATTGAAAGCCTTATTAAATAAAAATGTTTAAATCATTTTCCAGCACTAGATTCATTTGAAAGGTCATGGAAAATGACTTTTTATCTCCCCCCACAGAAATTGTTAATTATTTAAAGTACAATGGATTTAGGCCTTTTGATACTTTTATACTTATGATAGTTTTGTGCCCTGTGCTGCAAACCTTTGTAGCTACAGTGCTAGGTTTAAAAAGTTAACGTACAGCGCTGCTGTT